CACACTCTACAAGGGTTTTCTGTACTTACAATAACTTTAAATAACCGTAAACGTTACAATCCCAGGAGGGGTGTTATGTACTTGCAGTTACAGACTTTTTGTAATAGGATTAGTTATGTGTTTTATTGTTTAATATACAGACATTAATGATTGATTGACTGACTAATCACGAAATCTCCAAATGCACGAAGTCTGGGAGGTGGTTTCCTCTTGGGTAGTAGATGCTCCCTAAGGAAAAACATATTTCAAAATTTTAATTAATTAAAAATTAGCAGAAATATCAAAGCTTTTCCGCAATAGCTTCGGAGCATATTGTTACATAAAGCTATTTGTAGAACGTTTTGAAACTCAGACAACTGGTTTTCTAAACACATCAAATTCATTTTCGTGCAATTTTTCCTGAAATTTGATTAAATTTTTCAAAATTAATTTTTAACAAAATTTGTAACAATGCTTTTGATTGTTGTAATATACTTCATGGTATGCCTTCAAATAGAGAGTAAATTTAATTCTGGATTTCAACAAAGACAAATTTTTAGAGTCTGTCCATTTTGAAACGATGTTATTTCCTATTATATAATTTGACGACTAAAATTTCCTCATAGGTCTCTAAGCTACAAGTTTTACTTTATTATTGCATTTAATTTCCTCTTTATTGTATTTGTAGACAAAATTACACTGAAATACTAACTAAATTATGAAACGTATCCTGTACACACACTGATATTTTGTTTTCATGAGAATGTTGCAACTTATCTAACACGAGTTGAATCTTGAATCGTTTACGCTGCTGCATAGAAGATCAAATTTTGGGAGAGATCACAGATCTGTAATTAGGTAAAAGTAAAGGGCAAACGGAAATAAACAGGAATAAGGTTTCTAGAAGTAGTACGTATTGTTTGTCACAATTTTAAATTCCTTCCTCGAGGAACCTTGAAGAGCACATCCACCACAAGAGACAATTATCAAGCATTATGACCGATATTTCCGGATAGGCGCTAGAATAAGGAAGTGCTAATAAAATTCAAGTTCTTCGCAGAATGTACTCCGTACACCCCGCCAATGCTGAGTGTCATTACTTCCCCCGCCCCTCTAATGTGAAACTCATCATGAAATCTCTCATCCATGTGGTCTAGGAACTTGAAATACCGCAGGTATGTGCCTCTTGGTCTGTAGGTGTTTATTACCCAGGGATTTTTAGTTTAGTTACATATTAAAGGCGAATTTAGAAGCAATACAAGGGTTATTTTATGACAGATCTGGTCATTTTGAACCTCAGATGGATGATGAGAACGGCACCTTTCCAAACTCCAGTGCCAGGCCAGTGAGAGGAAGGTTGACCCTCGACGTGAGATTTAGCGTGGCCCACACACAAGGCGGATCTTTTGCAGAATTTAGTTTTTAACTAGAGCCCTTCAGTCTCGAAGATGAGATCTTTCCACCAAACCAGCGCGACCCTAAGAGATTTTGAAGATTCATTCATTAACCGCGTAATTCATCCCCTACAGCCTAAATATTCAAATGCTTAAGTCTAACTGCCATGATGAATTATAGTAATGGAATAGCAGGCTATGGGTAAACTGGCAAAGATTTGATGTAACCATACGCATTTCAATACGTATCTAATCTTCACGGATTTTGATTGGAGCATAATTTTGAATTTGTCCAAACAGCTAACCAAATATTTAGAAATCACTCAATGATAAACAGACGTCTTGATTCAGCACTCTGCAAGGCTGCTAAAATACATTTAAAAAAGTCAATACCGAAAGTTTTTAGTCCAGTGTGCGACTAAAAATGTGTTTTTAATACCTGACTACACTACAGTCCTTTCATGTTCTCATTTATTTTCGTAATAAAATTCTACAAGGCATAATTACATTGGTGACAATGAGAAAAAAATATCTCGCTCTAATATGTCATTTAAAATAACAATTAATATTAATTTCTAGAGAGAAATATGTGTTCTTCGTATTTGATTATACGTTATTTATTTGATAAAGTGTACCGGGTTCACAATTCAGAAAATAAATGAAAACACGAATTCCGGTGATACAATTCATAAATAAAATGTCCAGACGTTCTGGAACAACCGGTACAATTTCGGTATAGACTGTTTGAATTTTTGTCTCGGTTTCAAAAATTATTCGATTCTGAATAATTGTGACCCGCATTTTATTTATACGCTGATAAGTATTATTAAGATGTTATTTATTGGATTCAATTAAAAAAAATTGGCTTTGGAAGGATCTTCCTCCGAACTTTTACAATACATAGAATATGGTACCCCTAACATAATAGATATGAATGAATCCATTTGAAGAAAAATTATTGTGAAATACAGTGCTATCTTCCTTTGTCTCATCCTTATATCTATTTGTACATATTTTAAAATTTGACTTTATTCATTATTTTTGAAAGAAATATTTAAATTTCATCCAAGCACATAATTATAAGGCCTGATTCCCACATCCCTTCTCTACAATATCTTTGGGGTCACAATATGAAATTCAGAAAATCTGATAAATCTGTGGGTGTTCAAAAAGTTTCCATATTATTAAAACAATCCTAGCACACTAGCGGAAGAGATTTTCTTTTTCCTTCATCGTGATGGTTAACATCCCAACCAGCAGAAAGACTTTTTACATAAACTGTAAGGTTTTGCATGTAACTGTTATAATTACATATTCTTATTTCGTAAAAATATCTTAACAATATTATCATAATGAGAAAAGAATCTTTGGATGTTTGGGAGGTGTGAAGAGCTACGTAATCAGCAATATTGTAATAGTATTTTTTTAAAATATTCCCTTAGTTTTGATTCGACATTAATATGCATAACACAATCTACTGCAAATAAATCTTACTAAATATGTATGCAAATGGCCGCAAGCTCTACAAATTTGGATCACATGCTTTAATTCGATTTTCTCATCCGCCTTTGTTCACAAAGTAAATAACAGTCTACATGTTGAGTGGATTGGTGTTCGATTTCGAATTTAAAAACGGAAGAATATTCGTCAATTATGAGCGAATTCTTTAGAGGTTTGCTTTTCAGGGTGATAAAAAGTATTTAAATTACCAAAGGAAATGGTTCTTTCTTCACTCATACATGTGTAGTTTTAATGAGCAAATAAAAGGTAATATTGGTGAATATTAAATTCGCAAATACAAATGTATTACAATATAAAAATATATTTGCACATTTATAGAAAAAATTCCGAATATTAGAAAATACCATTTATTCCTGTTGGGAAAAACGTTACAAATTTCGGCAAAAAAGATTACGCCATAACTTAGTGAATGACAATCTACTTTCTTCGCCGGTAAAAAACAATCACTATCACTTCAGAAAATTTTTCTGCCCATAACTTTCAATTCAATTTAAGGCTATCTAAAACAACAACGAAAACTTATTTTTGTAGATTATTTTTGAATTGAAGAAAAAAATAAAAAAGATTGAAATAATTTTTCCTTCATCATTATATGTCGAAATCCTGCGTCGATTACGAAATTAGCTAAATAAAAGAAGAACAAAAATTAAATCATAGTAATCGTTTTAGCTTCTACTTTTTAAATTGATGCTTTTCCATTAGCGGAATCCAATCTTTGCCAAATTGAAATATTGGCGTTATTCCGTTTTGGCTCCAACATTCATCACTAAGAAAGCTATAGTTAAGATTTCGCAAAATATCTCTAAGATTTGTCGATCTGTCGCTAAAATTTTGCAGTTTCTACGAGGGTTATTCATAAAGTAACTTCGAATGGCTGTATGGGGGCGTGCGGATGGGAGCTGTTTGGTCAGCCACCGTACTGTCCTAACCTTGCTCCGAGCGATTATTACTTGTTTCCACACATGAAGACCTGGCTCACAACACAGCGCTTCGACGATGACGAGGAACTGCATGCAGGTGTCAGTGCATGGTTGAAGTCTCAGGCGGCAGCATTCTATGACGATGGAATTACCAAGCTGGTGTACCGTTATGATAAGTGTTTGAATTTATACGGGGATTATATTGAAAAATAGCTGAAAAATGTGCCTTTCAAATGTATGTAATAAAAATTCCTTTCATTTGATTTTTTTAATTCTAAAACGTAAGTTACTTTCTGAATAGCCCTCGTATATGGGATTTGGTAAAAGGAGAAGTACTTTTATATAAATTTTATATATCCTTTCTATACGATTGAATGAGAAGTAATTCAGGTTTTTTCATAAATAATGTCAACCCAATGATCAACAGTCAAATACTAAGAAACATTTAGTCATGTACGATTTATTGAATTTTATATATGTTTTATGCCTCCATTTATTTATTTATTTGCTGTGTTTATCTTAATGACAAACTGGTCTTCTTTTAATACTAAAACTGACTTTAAAGATTTCAAAAGACACATTCAGATTCAAAAGACTCTGAAGATTTAAAAGCCACTTTTGTGAGTTACCTCCGTCAATTCATATTAGAGAATGTCCTCAAATATGAGTTATTCTTGCATGATGAAAATAATTACGTATTTTGCGAATATGCTTATTAAATATCGTGTCAAGATGTTCTTATTGATGTCGGTTTATTTGCGGAACAGACAATTCAATACACTCATCAAGTTCGTTTTTTTATACTTTGGATCTCATTACTTCAGTATTCAGAATGGCCCACATGTGTTCCAGACGTGCTTTTATTACCGAATTAAACTTTTATCAGCGTGAGTACCTTTTCATCGTCGTTTACTCAAACTGTGAAAAGAATTACAAAACAAAATTTTCTTTTATATAAATCGATGTAAGTTCTAAATAAATACCAAAAAAATAAGCTTGCTATTTTATTTTTTATTTATTGGGTTCACAGGCCACATTAAAAAAAACTTTATAAATAATACATTACGATTTGCTTAAAACAATGATTGCTTAAAAACAATGATTTTCTGCCAAATATCCCTCTTTTATATTAAATGAAAATAGGTAATGATACAACCGACGATCCTTCAGTACCCTGATCTATGACTCCGGCATGGTCTAGTGGTTAGGATACCTGGCTCTCACCCAGGAGGCCCGGGTTCATTTTCCGGTGTCGGAAGCTTTCATTTTTTATAATGATGAGATTACGAACTAGGGCGATCTGAAGTAACCTTAATTTAGAAACACTTTACTGTTGCGTTGGAATTAAGAAAAATAAAGAGCATTATATTGAATAGGAAAAATAATTCCAGAGAAAGCTGTATAAGAGAAGAAAAAATGAACCACTGTACTGAGAAACAGAAAAGACATTCAGTTTATCATAGCATCCGGATATCTCTTTGCTTGTTTCGGTTCATATGAATGAAATTAGTCTCAAGATCTCATTCATCATAGGAACAGCTGGTGATAGAGCAACAGCAAGTTCCATATCATTGCGAGATGAAGTCTGAGATGCATTATGTTTGGAAATAGAAGAAGTGGAATGTGAAAATATTAACTATAGAATTACACTTCTTCAATTAATTATTCGAAGGAACTCACAATATGGGTACTTAACACCACAGCATACCCCCGAAGTCGGAGCCAGGTCGGCTACCTATCGGTTTGTTGGGTATGCGTGAAACTTTATTGAAAAAGGCAGAGCAAAAAAGGAATTACATTTTATATATAAGGATACAAAAAAGAGAACGCCTAGAACAAAAGAATATAATAGTTAGTAATATAACTGTCAGTTCTTTCAAGTCTTTGTGTTGATTACTTTGAGAGGGTGGTGCCTTATATATATGGGAGAAGAGAGAAGATGAGTGCCTAGGGTTAATTGAGTCTGTGGCTAGTTGTTGTCGCCATTTTTTGGAAAAAAGAGTGTTTCGTTTTCCGCGATGAAGTGGATGTGTTTTCTGATTTTCGCCCTAGAATTGTTATTGCTCATAACTCTTTTCCACCAAAGTGGTTCTAGGTCAGCTGACGGTTTTGTTAGGTAGTATGAGGTTGTAAACAGGCAGATTGTAGCATAGTGTAAAGGGTTTCCCAGGTTTCTGCAGTCACAGGAATCGCTGTTTCTGTAGTTGATCGAGCACATTACACTTATCATTATATTGCCCGATATCAACTAAAGTACTCAGACACATTTTAGAAAATTTTTTGATGCATATTAATTGAAGAAACAGAACTTATTTAGTGCATTCATTATTGTGCAGATTTCGCCTAATGGATAAAAAAATAAGCAAAGAATAAAGGAAAATAAAAAAGATGGGCCATAGATCAAACTTCAGCGGTCGCGAAAAACGATCGTTCTTATCAAAATAATGGCTGATTGGAGACCCTCAGTAATAAGAAATAAACTTGTTCGGTTTGTTCCTATTTCTGGACATAAGCTTTTGTTTACCTTTTATGATTTATTTTTTCACAATAATCACAGCAAATAATATGACACAAGTAAAGATCCCAGCACATGATATCCTCCAATAATGGTCGTATACTTGCTCTTACATATGGTAGCATTTATACTATTAAGAACCAAATCCCAAACATAGGTTTTGAGATATAGCTCTTTTTCCAAACATTACAGAAAAAATTCTAACGCTGTGTTTCATTTGAAAAGTAATTGTTGCATTACAGGTAGCTCGCCGCGTTCTTCAATTTTACAATGCTTCTCATAATTATTAGAATGGACTGTTAAAATTTCATCTTGCTCATAAAATTTTAAAAGCTTGATAATTTGCCATTTTGTTTTGATTTTCTAGCATTTTATTTCATTATCCACACATGCATATATAGTTATTTCATGAAATAACGCTACTTGTTAGAAAATATTATTGTTTTAAACAGCATATTTTAGCTGTTCAAATTCATTAGAACGGCTGATCACCAAGGTTATATTTAAGTGAATTCGATTTGTATTTGTTTTAATTTTGGTAAATTTTAAAAATTTTAAAGATTAATTTATTTAGTAAATTAAATTTTTTTGGTCTATGAAGCAGTCAAGTCAACAGTAATGCAAAAGAGTTTAGAGATTTCTATTGATCATTGCTACAGCATCAATAAAGATCGAAAGGATGGGGTATCGTATGAAAACCTAGCAAAAATGTATACATCGTCGAAGTCTGGTATCTACTATTTATGCAGGAAGTATGAGACGACAAGATTCATCGAAACCAAGAGAGGGCGAGGCAGAAAACCGAAAATAAGTGCGAGAAGACTCCAGACTCCATGTTAGTAAGATTGATACACAAATAGAACGATATATCGTCAAGAGAGATCATGAAAGACTTGAAATTGAATGCGTCAGCTCTAAAAGTTCACCTGAGAATCAAGAACCCAGGGTTGATCATCTGTATCCAAAGAAAAAGAACATACATTTCAAAAATACATAAGACTCTCTACTTCGCAAAGTCCTTGGTCTCTGCAAAAGAGCATATTTCGAAGTATTCACAAATCCTGGAAAATGTTTTATGGTCAGACGAAAGCAAATATGAACTTTTAGGATAAAAAAAAAGCATAAAAGAGAAAAAGAGTGGTAAATGTGTATCCCAGTCAGTCTGATTCTTTGATACAAATAAAGATAGATGATTTAAAATCGTTCGATTAAACCTCTCGACCATGCCATCGAACTCAGGATGTAAAGCCGTCGTTCGAGTCTTCAGAATTCCCAAAAGTTTGCAAAGCTCAGTAAAGAGCGCGGAATTAAAATTTGTACCTTGATCCGAATGTAATATCATAGGTACGCCATAGCGCGAAATCCAGATTCGAATAAGTTCTTCAGCCACAGTCGAGGCTTCCTGATCTGGAATGGGGATTGCTTCTGGCCATTTAGTAAAATAGTCCATCAATACCAGGACATACCGATTGCCCTTTGTCGTTACAAGAAAAGGTCCTAAAATATCTAAAGCCATTCTTTCGGAAGATGCGCCCACATTATAGCGCTGTAAGCGACCTTTAGTTCTTGTTTTGGGTCTTTTTCGTGGCACATTGCTGGGAAGCGACTTTCCATGTTCGTAACAGTATGTTTTCCTGTAAAAGTGTTGGTAAAAATATGATAATCAACGGTAAAATGACGCTGATACTTTGTCTTAAAATCTGAAGAAATCTATCCAAAATTTGAGTGTGCGTCGACGGTATATCTTTCAACGAGATAATGCACATCAAAGATTACCAAAGATTATTTCTCAGAAAACAAGATTAAGATACTGGATTGGCCACCACAAAACTCAGACCTTAATCCCACCTAAAATTTATGGTTAACTTTGAATCAGAAATTTCCCTTTAAAGAATGAAAAAATAAAAATCAATTTTTTGAGAAGATCAAAGATTATTGACGCAGTATCAGCCAGGAGGCAACGCAGAAACTGGTTGATAGTCTGAATCAAAGACTGAAAGTAGTGATTGAGGCCAAAGGAGGTCTAGATAAACATTAAACGCTGATATTTTATTTTTAAAAAAATTGTTATGTTATTTTTTTCATTGTAAGTTTTTGACAGTTCGAATAATTTTGAACAACACATATTTTAGATTTATTTGAAAGCGTTCCTATTCTGATATATTCTGCGATACAGTTTGAGTTATTTGAAGCTTTTTCTAATGAATAAGATTGATAAGATAATAAAATTAATATATTTGAGACAAAAATAAATAAATTTATTTTCTATAATAAAAAAGTGTAACATTTTCATTAGCGCTGTAATTATTTTGAACTCCACTGTAGATTTCTGTGATCCGAAATTACGTAAATTACGGATTTCCAATCAACAGTTAACTCACCTCTAGAAAAAGTGAAGCAGGTTGCAAATTTAAATTTGATGAATTTTGCCGAAAACTACGAACTCTTAGTTACAGTCTGCAATAGTTAACTCGAAATGCGAAAAAAACGTTGGTTATCTCCTTTTTCCATAACTGTGTCCATATAGTTATAAATGTAGTAAACAATTTCTCAGCGCTACGCGTGCATAAGAAACCAAAAGAAAGAACGGACCTTTTACAGTACTTGCCAAAAGTAAAGAAATAAGATAGGGTCTATCATACACTCCATGAAAAAAATTGCAAAAAAAGGAAAATTTTATTTAAAAAAGAGTAAAAGGATAAAATGAAATAAGGAAATTTATTAATTACATATAATAAGATACAAACCCCCCTCGAACCTTACGGTCTATTTCACATAATATACAAAGTGATCAAAAACACAGCAAAACTTTAAAAATTCATAAAAAATATGAACAAATAATGATACGGAACTGCGGTTTGCACTAAAAGCAAAATTAGGAAGGAGTATTTTTTTTACTAGCAAAAAGAATGTGGTTTAAAAACATCGATACAGGTATCTCTCATGAATGCATCGTCCAGTATTATACAAATGAGGAATATTATACAAAAATGATTACTCAGTTGAATTTCATGTCACATAGCTTCTTTGAATTCAATCCATTTCCCAAGAGTTGACACCAGTTGATTACTGGTTATGAGGAGATTTCAAATGAAATGTATATGAGTCAAGTACTTCTACATTGGCAGAATTTGACGGCAAATTGCATCCATTCCTCGAAGTTTTATACACTGGTCCGCAAAAGTTCAGGACCGTTTCGTAAAATGCTTGAAATTTTCAGGTTATACGAAAACTATGATTCGAAATCAGTTGTGGAGAATCGTGTTACCTACAATCGAGTATCGTACACATTTCACACTGGAGATTCAGTCACGATGGCATTTAGGGGACCAAGCAGAAATTGATGAAGGCAAAATGGGATGCTGGCTCATCCCGTTTCATAGGAAGATGATAATGATTTAAAATTTTCATTAATGGTTTTGTTTGCTATACACATTGCTTACATACATTTTCGTAAAAATAGCAAGGGCATTCCAGAAGACATAAAGAATTTTTTTAAAAATCCCAAATTTTCCCGCATGTTTTTTGCTGATACTATGCAGCGTTTCCAACTAAATTATTCGAAACTTACAGAATACTGGACAATATGTTAGAGAAATATTTTATTAAAATTTGAAGTAAATACGCTGAATATTAGACGAAGTATGAGTATTTGTACTAAATAATTTTTTACTGCACATGTGCGAGAAGTAGTGTAGTTTTTCTTTCATAACTTCAAAGCCAGATATATAAAGCAACTTAAC